TGTGTTTAATTATCCATTTATATACTTCATACTCAACGTGGAATTCATGGAATTCATGCATTGGATTAGATGAGGCATACAGAGAAAGTCAAACTGTTTCGAATGAAGAGTAGGTCGGGTTTGGTGGGTTAAATATATTATTTGTATGAGTTTTAGGTTCTTTAAATCTCTAACAAATAGCTACGGAAACAAACAATTGATTTAAGTACAAGCATTTGGAAATTGGAAAGAAAAACGAACATTACTGGATTGCATCTAGTTAACAAGGTGCCATTCTTCCAGTTTATCAAATTGCAGAATGTCTGGTTGAAGGCTTTATAAATCATTGCAGTGAATTGTTGAAAAATGCATGTAATACTTGAATGCCTTTTGAAACTTTTTAAGTTGCGTGAGTGAAATGTTTCAAAGCGATAGGTTTTCAACCTATTTAACACAGGTATTTAATCACATGACTTGGCAGCAGGTCAAGACGAGGAAGTAGAAGATCAGTTTACAGACTTCATTTAGGGAGTCATATTGAATTTACGGGTAAGACGTTTTCTCAACATTTTTTAACTTACTTCTATTTAAATATATGATCGTTCTTCTGCTTAAAAGGAATCATTCCATCTTTTTGGCGTTAATACAAAAGCCTGAACTAGCTCCTGAGAGCAAATCATTAAAATTGTTGCATCCAAGATTCGGATGTACAGAGCCTCTGTTGCACTAATAAATGATTTGAAATTCTATTGGATAACATCATTTGAATATATAACTTTTCGTGACGGCGCAGAATTTTTAAGCTTTAAATGGAAACTGAAGTTCAAATTCTTAGACAGAATTATAATGCAAGTGACTTATCTTTTGAACCTAGAGTAGAATTTTTGACACAAATCAAACGGCTGAGATTGTGATTTGACAACTATATAATTTATTTTATAAACTTTTTCAATATTTGTTGACGGTATATCACAAAATATGCCCAGATGTATAAAACTTTTTAAGTAGTATTGATTTAACTGTATATTTGTCTTTGTCGTAAGATACTATTTGGAAAGATTCACAGTTCTTTTTAAAGGGCTTCTTCCAGACATGGTTTGGTCATGACTAGAGAAAACTGATATATTGTTTTTAAATATTACACATCAGACATCCTCCGCTGAAATATGGATGAAATATTGTCAACCCATCCTTCAACAATAACATTCAATCAAATAAATCAAATCAAAATCAATAAAATCAAATAAATAATTACCTCAACCGCAGACAAATCTGAAACTATATTTAGGGTTATCAGCTCCTGACAAGGTATAAACGTGCACTTGTTCATAACTTTTCCTGTTGTTGCATGAAGATTAAATACACTGTATATGACACAATTCAGAATATAATGAAAGTATTTCTCTCCCCGAATAATCAGTAAAGTTGTGCGAGAAATACGAAATCAAAGATTTTGATGATCATAAATAGATAAAATAGTTAAAAATATGTATCATATCTAAATATTTGAAAGATTTAAGTTAATATCTTTTGTTAAATTATTCATATCGAGTGGAAGAAAGTCAAACTTATTTTCACACTCTATTTACCCCGGAATTTAAATCACACGACCAGATAGAAATTCAAGACAGAAAATAAACTGTCGGTACACAAATAGAGTTAAGGCATCCATTTTCAATTTAGAGATAAAAATAAATGTACATGTATAAATAGTTATTTTTTTTCAAATACCATCAACAGTTATTTTGGAGTGGTTAATGATTGATTTTATGTTGTTTATCGTCACTTTCAATAATTTTTTTCGCATTCAGAGACGTCACCATATGTATTGATAAAGGGCTTCAAATCTAGACGTTTACCTGGCACTTAGTACCATTGAGCATTCGGGCATTTTTATGATGCCAACGCTTGCAGTGAAATGGGATTCGGTTTTTATACAGTCCCTGAAACGTTCTACTTTCCCACTTGAACGGTGAGCGAACGCTGAACGAACGCAGAGCGAACGGTGAGTGAACGATATGTGAACGCTGAACGCAACTTGGTGAACGATGTGTGAACGGTGAACGGTGAGCGAACGCAGAACGCGAACGGAGCGCAAATGCGAACGGTGAACGAACGGTGAACGCAAGATGAACGATATATTCGGAATGCCTCTGATCTTTTCCTTGCATTGAAACTATTTCATTGTTTTATAATGTCAGGTGCCAAAAAAAATAAATAAATAAATAAATAAATCAATCAATAATAAATAAGTAAACCAATAAATGAATGAATAAATAAGTCAATAAAATAAATTCTCCAAAATTGTCCTGAGAAAGACGATGCATGCACATTAAGTTTTTAATCACACGATTTTTATCGCATTAAAACATTGCAATTGTTGCCGAACGCTGAAGTATAAGAGATATTTTTTTTTAGTTTGAAAATAAAAATGTTTATTCTTATTTGATAACAAATCAGAGAAAACTTCTGACTTATAGAATGAATTAAAGTGGTTGTAACATCCATTCATATATCTCCGTGTTAAAGCGATTTCGTGTAAAGTAATGAAAAAAAATTAATTACAAAGGTCAGTGGACATTTTGCATTTATACGCTCGTACTTTAAATTTTTAATACAATAATATATTATGTGTCATTTCTATTTTTCATGATGATCTATTCAGGCCCGTAGGAAGCAAATTCGGTTTTTTTTTTGGGGGGGGGGGCACAGCCATACATTTTCAGTTGATAGTTGAGGGGGCACTGCCAAAAATTTCCTGACAAGCAAAAAAAAAAAAAAAAAAAAAAAGGTCATCAGACTTCTTATTGCAGGGGGCACAAGCATATATGTTTACTATAATAATCTATATATCGGCAAAATTATTGGGGAGGGTGGGGTGGGGGGGCACGCCCCCCCTCCGGTTCCTACGGCCATGTTTATTGAGCAGACTTCTACATTTATCTGTAGATGATGGCCGTGATTATACTCGGACAAGATAATACAAAGATACATATTCATATTATTTGTTATAAATTCAATTTTCAGAACTTGATATTCAAGTAATATGCTGTTATAGTTTTTATTAAACAGACAAATGAGAGAGAGAGAGAGAGAGAGAGAGAGAGAGAGAGAGAGAGAGAGAGAGATTCCGTTTTAGCCCCCCCCCCCCCCATTTCAGGCTTCACTAAATGTTTGTACCTACATGTATATCAAACAAAAACTCTGAATTTTTTTTCTAAATATATCAGACAGTGAAAGTAACTTTTTTTTAATCAACAAATCATATCCTTTTGTTTGACAGTCATACTCGTTTTTATTTTCCTGCTTCAAGTTCACACGAAGTCCACGTGCTTGTCCTGTCAATCAAAATCATTCGACACTGTGCAGGTGTGAAAGTTTCGTCACATCGAAGACGAAGTGCGAGTATTTCCAACAAGTTATAACATTTATTTTTATCATTTCTAGATTTGATTCCAACATTTGAATAATAATTGAATAAAATACATTGGGCATTAACACTTGAATTTGAAACATACTCTCTTCCAATTCCAAATACCAACTCCGACACGTGTACATTTTGAACTACTATTGTTTTGTGACTTTTTTAGATGCATGTTTGTTTTGAGACTGAAATTTTTGTTTTAAAAAAGACCTTAACTTTTTTTAAAAATGTTAATTAAAATATTCTGGAAATACAATACTGACTAAGTAACCGATTTAGGGGGAAAAAGGGGGGGGGGGGGTATTAATCATATCGAATGGCAAACATATAAAGTTACGGTGAAGAAAGATTTTTTTCTCTATAACTATAGACTTTACATATTATAGTAAAGAAAATTCTGTAGTGCATTACATTTTAAATAAATATTTCCTTTAACCACACTATCAATTTAATTCGCTCCAAAGATAATAAATTAACACGATATCCGCAGTACTATGTATAACTCTCAGAACTAGTTCTATCATATTTTCTGTAGTAATTGAATAAAAACGTGTTAGAAATAAATATTTTCGTTATTTTGCTGCGTAATTATTTGACTTGGATAATTATATCTCCATTAACGATTTGTCGTCTTTAACAAAACAACAAAATGTTGCAGTGTTTGAAGTATTTGCACATTGCCCTTAGTTAAATTTAATATTTCAGCATCGTTCTACATACATTTACCCGGTAGTTACAGAATGTGCTTCTAACAACATTTAATTTCCAGAGTAATTTTATAAATAACCTAACAGCTAAGTTAGAATAATAAAAATATATATCGTAGATATTTTTCCCCATGAAATAATGATTCTTCAAACAATATGTTAGTTATTAAATTAAAAAACCTGTAACTCCTAATCTACAAAAAGATAAGTCCTTTCACTTCGGAGTTCCGAATGACAATGGAAACTGAACGATAGGTGAACGCTGAACGCAAGGTGAACGCAAAGTGAACGGAACGAAGAGCGAACGCTGAACGCTTTGTGAACGGTGAACGTGAGCGCACGGTGAACGGTGAACGCAAAACTGTGAACGAAGAGCGAACGCTGAACGCACGCTGATCGAACGGTGAGTGAACGGAAAAATGGGAAAGTAGAACGTTTCAGGGACTGTAAGTTCATCCAAAAAAACGCAACTTTCACTTAAAGGTGCAAAGCGCTTATCGTCGGAACAGTTGCTTCCTATTATGTGTCGACTTCGGTCAGTTGCGACCAGGGCTCAAACTCACGGCCTTCCGATCACAGGGCGAGAGCTCTTCCGACTGTGCTACTGTAACGGTAGTTTATTTTTTAGATATAAACAGGGGAAATCGAAACATTTATCATTTTATTTAAGCATGTAAATGTATGAAAGTACTATTGCACTTTCATTCTTTGAAATCATATATACTACATACAACTTTTACAAAACCTGTCATTATGTAATATATTACCTATTTTATTAGTTTGTCCCACGTCTCAATATAAACGTTTCTCTTTTATTCTATCGGTGATGGATCCTCTCGACAGAGCTCAAGTACTCCTCCTCTGTGACCTGTGCCAGAGAGATGCATTACAGGTTCATTGTGAGCTTTGTGAAATTAGCCTGTGTAAGGCCTGTGAAAAAGAGCACCGTTCTGATTCATCCAAAAGACACATTATTGTCCCATACAGAGATAGAGCTCCAGCTCCTAACTATCCAAAATGTCCAAAACATTCTCAGAATGAATGTAAAATTTACTGTGATAAATGTGTCCCATCTGTTCTACCTGCATCTCTTCTGATAAACATCACGGGCATAAAACAACAGACATTGTACAAAAACTCAGTTCTAAAACAAAGGATTTAAAAAGAAATTTAAAAGAACTAGAAACAAACATATATGTCACTTACAAAGAAATTGCATTAGACATCAAGGCTGAAAAAGCTTCTTTTGAAAAACATTTTGAGAGACTGACAACAGCTGATACAAAACAAGGAAAAGACTGGCGCAAAGAAATTAACATCATTGTCAAGAAACAAAAATCTGAAATTGATGAGATGAAAACTAAACTCCTGGTTGCTCTTGATGAACATGAAAAGAAAATAAAAAAGGAAATTTCTGAAATAAATCAGAGCATTCTTGACCTGAGGAAAATACTGGACTCCAGTGATATCTCCCTAAACTTTGCATACAAATCCAGGAATGCTGAATTCAGAAGTTTGCCTCCTAAAATCAAGGTTTCATTTCCAGTTTTCTATCCTCGCCAGATCAACACAGTACAGCTCAATCAAATGTTTGGTTCCCTCTCAGAATTTTCCATTTCAACAGACGAACATGGCAACATCATGAAAACACCAATCAAATCATTGCTCGATGAACCTGAGCTCATCACCACCATAGACACTGGCCTAAGACTACTCAGTATTTCCTGTCTCAGTGATGAAGAAATCTGGACACGTGGAAAAGATAATATGATGAGACTTTACAACCTCCAGGGTGAACTACTGAAGTCAATCAAAACCAGATCTGAGAACACCCCACGTGACATAGCATTGACAAGGTGTGGAGATCTAGTGTATACTGACCTTGATGAAAGAACTGTAAACATAGTTAAGAATGATCAGACACAGGAAGTGATCAGACTAAAGAGATGGATACCTTTCAATGTCTGTAGTACCTCCTGTGGTGACCTTCTGGTTACAATGGACAGTGATGATAAAGAACAATCAAAAGTTGTCCGTTATTCTGGCTCTACACAGAAACAAACAATTCAGTTTGATAGAAAAGGTAAACCTTTGTATTCATCTGATTCCTTTAAATATATGACTGAGAACAAAAATCTAGATATCTGTGTATCTGACGATGGAGCCAAAGCATTAGTGGTGGTTAATGAGGCAGGAGAACTCCGATTCAAATACACTGGTCACCTCTCTTCAACCAAGGAATCATTTCATCCATCCGGCATCACAACAGACAGCCAGAGTCAGATCCTGATATCAGACGCTACCTACCAATGTATTCACATCCTAGACTATGATGGACATTTCTTTCGTTACATTGATAACTGCGATCTAAACGTTCCAAATTGTTTATGTGTGGATACTAGAGACAATCTCTTTGTGGTTGATTGGGGCAGTGGTAACTTGAAGAAAATCAAATATATGCAAACAATTTGTCAATAAATAACACGTTGGATGAGGCTGTTTTTGAACCTCTCAATATATATCGAAAATTGATATATTGTATTAATATGACTTCTTTTCATCCAAAAATATTAACATAATCCATGCAAAAGATTTTCCGATTTTATGATACTTGAAAATAACCTTCTGGATGGAGCGATTGGGGTATGAATTGCATATAAGTTCCTTCGTATAAGTTTCCTTTGTATATGGAATAGTTAGTCAAAAACTCGAAAATGAGATAATATGTGTCTTTAGACAATATTACGACACTCGCTTAACATGTCGAATCGTGAGCTTAAACTTGCATATTCCAGCATTAAAAAACGTTTTAACGCCCCAAAGCGCTACGAACAATGGCTGCAACAGCTGAGTCCAGCTCTGTAATTTTGAAACTTGTTGGATATTGGAAATTGTCATAAAGACTCAATATTGTCCAAATTAACCTTTTGTTCGATCAAACCATACGTCGTTTAAAATATAAAAATTTATGAAATTTTAAACGAATTAAATTTAAAATATTTATAGTTAATTTTTCATCATTATATTTTGTTTGCGTTATCTTTCTTTTGTACTGAAGCCTTTTTAGAAAAAAAAAATTGGGGGGACGTGACGCGTCGGACTTCTCTCTTATGTAACTTCCCATTAAATCTATACATCTTTTAAATAATAAGTCATTATGTAAAAACTAAAGATATATTAATACAAGTATAAAGAACGCATAATAATATGTGTGCGCATGTTTTGATATGAAGTTAACACTTTTTTTTTAATTTTAAAAAAGTTCACGAGCAATCGTTAATTGAACCTTCAGAATAAAATTTGCATAAGTATTTGAAAGATTTTAAGCAATAAAAGTTGCCCGTTTTCTAGTGATCTCTCCAAAGTGGGGATTACTAGGGAATGAGATCAACACTTGCAATATTTTCCACGTTCATTAATGTTAATAAAATATATTGTAAGGACCTGTCAGACTCTAAAATTTTATTATGGTATACTGTGTAATAATAATAGGGCGGATGGACTTTCTTGTAATATTATTTCATGTGAATCAAAACGTTGTACCAACATTGGTCAAAGATGTTAGAGTTTGCATGTATTTTTATGTACCATGAATAAGATACCCTTCAACTTAAATCTGCATGTATTTCTGGAGTTAAATGTCATTATCTTAGCAATTCTTCATGTGTGGATTAGCTGTAATACTTTGAATCATCTGCTTCCATGCAACTTGTTTACATCCCGCCATCTTTATCGGTGCATGTTATGTAGCTTAGATTCGTATTTTACCTAAATTGTTATTCTTATTACATCACGGGATTAATTACATGTTATCAATTACGTTAATTATTATTGTGATTTCTGCTATTCATTTGAATAATTATTATTCCCAATTACTTGTGTCTACAACTTGTATTATATTTTTATTCATCCGCGATATCGTCTGCGTACTCAGCAAATTTACTTCTATGAAATTTACAAGTTTCAGATATGAATGTTTTACTTACTTACTATAGAAACATCTTTTGTAATCCACATTAATTGGTAATATTGTCCTTTCACATTTTAATTATTGAGTTTGTTTGTAATCCATATTGTACGACAACTTTGTTTGACAGTACGACACAATTTTTGCTTTGTACGATGTCGTACATTGTCGTGATTGGTGGAACGTCGCCGTACAGCATTTTTATTGATTGAGTCTTGTCCTGTGACCCTTTTCCAAAGGTTATATATAGGGGGCGATCGCTTTATGTCAACAGATAATTTGAAGACGCAGGTACGTTAAGGCTTCCCATAGAAAATTACAATGTACGCTATGGTTTCACTTCTCTGAAGTAATATATGACTTCATAATTGAAAATGACCTCAAGTCACTGCAAACTTAACGAGACCGAGTCTAATTATTTCTACCCTAGATATTTTGATAAATTTTCTTGAATGAATTTTTACTATCTTATTAATTATTTTAAGATAAAAATATCAAATGTTTACCATCCCAATTTCTAAAAGGGCCATCTAAAAAGTTGTCAAATTTTACTATTGGACCCTATGGGAATTTGTTAGAAAAACGCCAAATTATCATATTTTCCCCATATTGTTTGTATTTCTGCCCTAGGAATTTCGTTTTTAGTCAAATACATCAAAGTTATTGTAAAACGTCACCGAATTGTGAAATTTCAAAAAAGTTGACCATCTGGTTTGGTCTAGGAATTATTACAAGAACTATTCTTATTACATCACGGGCATAATTACATGTTATTAATTAACCTGTATATTAAAACACAAAGTGAAAAACAACAAAGTTCAGGTTAGCTAAATGGCCCCTTCCTTTCCCAGGGACCCTTCAAAAACCAGGTGAGTGGTCCTCTTTAAGGTCCTTAACCTTTCACTAGTGTTACTTTGTTCTAGTAGCCAAAGATGCTTTCGAAATGAATGCTTGAAATACGGTCCCCACCTATGGCAACATTTGTTGGTACCACTATAGTCCCATTCTGATAGCGGGAAATGATAGTCCTAGGGCCCCTCTACCTTGCCCCAGTAATGATTTGAAGCACACTTCAAAGATAAGGGGTATAATAGCTGACCTTTAACCTGTATATTAAAACACAAAGTGAAAAACAACAAAGTTCAGGTTACCTTGCTGACTCTTTTTCTTCCCCGGGACCCTTCAAAAACCTGGCAAGTGGTTCGCCCTTAGGTCCTTAACCTTTCTCTAGTGTTACTTTGTTCTAGTAGCCAAGGATGCTTTCAAAATGAATGCTTGAAATACGTCTCCCACCTATGGCACCACTTGGTGGTACCACTACAGCCCCATTCTGATAACGGGAAATGATAGTCCTAGGGGCCCTCTACCTTGCCCCAGTAATGATTTGAAGCACACTTCAAAGACAAGGGGTATAATAGCTAACTTTTGACCTGTATATTAAAACACAAAGTGAAAAACAACAAAGTTCAGGTTAGCTAAATGGCCCCTTCCTTTCCCAGGGACCCTTCAAAAACCAGGTGAGTTGTTATCTTTAAGGTCCTTAACCTTTCACTAGTGTTACTTTGTTCTAGTAGCCAAAGATGCTTTCGAAATGAATGCTTGAAATACGGTCCCCACCTATGGCACCACTTAGTGATACCACTACAGCCACATTCTGATAGCGGGAAATGATAGTCCTAGGGGCCCTCTACCTTGCCCCAGTAATGATTTGAAGCACACTTCAAAGATAAGGGGTATAATAGCTGACCTTTGACCTGTATATTAAAACACAAAGTGAAAAACAACAAAGTTCAGGTTAGCTAAATGGCCCCTTCCCTTCCCAGGGACCCTTCAAAAACCAGGTGAGTTGTTATCTTTAAGGTCCTTAACCTTTCACTAGTGTTACTTTGTTCTAGTAGCCAAAGATGCTTTCGAAATGAATGCTTGAAATACGGTCCCCACCTATGGCACCACTTGGTGGTACCACTACAGCCCCATTCTGATAGCGGGAAATGATAGTCCTAGGGCCCCTCTACCTTGCCCCAGTAATGATTTGAAGCACACTTCAAAGATAAGGGGAATAATAGCTGACCTTTAACCTGTATATTAAAACACAAAGTTCAGGTTAGCTAAATGGCCCCTTCCTTTCCCAGGGACCCTTCAAAAACCAGGTGAGTGGTTCTCTTTAAGGTCCTTAACCTTTCACTAGTGTTACTTTTTTCTAGTAGCCAAAGATGCTTTCAAAATGAATGCTTGAAATACGGTCCCCACCTATGGCACCACTTGGTGGTACCACTACAGCCCCATTCTGATAGCGGGAAATGATAGTCCTAGGCGCCCTCTACCTTGCCCCAGTAATAATTTGTAGCACACTTCAAAGATAAGGGGAATAATAGCTGACCTTTAACCTGTATATTAAAACACAAAGTTCAGGTTAGCTAAATGGCCCCTTCCTTTCCCAGGGACCCTTCAAAAACCAGGTGAGTGGTTCTCTTTAAGGTCCTTAACCTTTCACTAGTGTTACTTTTTTCTAGTAGCCAAAGATGCTTTCAAAATGAATGCTTGAAATACGTCCCCCACCTATGGTACCACTACAGCCCCATTCTGATAGCGGGAAATGATAGTCCTAGGCGCCCTCTACCTTGCCCCAGTAATAATTTGTAGCACACTTCAAAGATAAGGGGTATAATAGCTAACCTTTAACCTGTATATTAAAACACAAAGTGAAAAACAGCAAAATTCAGGTTAGCTTACTGACCCTTTTTCTTCCCCGGGACCCTTCAAAAACAGGCAATTGGTTCTCCCTAAGGTCCTTAACCTTTCACAAGTGTTACTTTGTTCTAGTAGCCAAAGATGCTTTCAAAATGAATGCTTGAAATACGTCCCCTACCTATGGCACCACTTGGTGGTACCACTACAGCCCCATTCTGATAGCGGGAAATGATAGTCCTAGGGGCCCTCTACCTTGCCCCAGTAATGATTTGAAGCACACTTCAAAGATAAGGAGAATAACATCTGACTTTTAATCCATATATCAATAGACAAAGTGAAATACAACAAAGTTCAGGTTACCTAACTCGCCTTTTCTAGTCATTGAAACCTGTCAAAAAGTTGACAAGGGGTACTCCCTAAGGCCCTTAACTTTTTTCCAGTTAAGTGTTAGTTTGTTCTAGTGGTCAATGATGGTTGAAAAATGAAAGCTTGAAATATGTTCCCCACCTATGGCACCACTTGGTGGTGCCACTACAGCCTCATACCGATTGCGGGAAATGATAGTCCTAGAAATCTATCTTGCCACAGTAATGATTTAAAGCACACCACTCTTATAAGATAAGAGGTATGATAGCTGCTTGAAATATGTAACCCACCTTTTGCACCACTTGGTGGTACCACTTCAGCCTTATTTTCATGGCCGTATATAATAGCCCTGTGGAACCTTTACTTTGTGCCAGTAATTGTTCGAAGCACATTTCAAGGATAATAAAATAAAATAGATTAAATTACCTTCAAACCCTTATCAATGTAAATATTAGGAGTAAGCAAATTTCAGGTTAGCC